TTTCTTTTCAGGTTATTACAAGTTATGAGGTGATCAGTTTTGTGTTGGTTTCTTTTCAGGTTATTACAAGTTATGAGGTAATCAGTTCTGTGTTGGTTTCTTTTCAGGGTATTACCTGTTGTGAGATGATCATTTCAGTGTTTGTTTGTTTTCAGGGCATGACCTGTTGTGAGGCGATCATTTGAGTGTGTGTTTGTTTTCAGGGTATGACTTGTTGTGAGGTGATCAGTTTTGTCTTGATTTCTTCTCATGGTATGACCAGTTGTGAGGTGATCAGTTTTGTGTTGGTTTCTTTTCAGGTTATGACAAGTTGTGAGGTGATCAGTTTTGTGTTGGTTTCTTCTCATGGTATGACCAGTTGAGAGGTGATCAGTTCTGTGTTGGTTTGTTTTCAGGGTATGACCAGTTGTGAGGTGATCAGTTTTGTGTTGGTTTGTTTTCAGGGTATGACCTGTTGTGAGGCGATCATTTCAGTGTGTGTTTGTTTTCAGGATATGACTTGTTGTGAGGTGATCATTTTTGTATTGATTTCTTCTCATGGTATGACCTGTTGTGAGGTGATCAGTTCTGTGTTTGTTTGTTTTCAGGGTATGACCTGTTGTGAGGTGATCAGTTCAGTGTTTGTTTGTTTTCAGGGTATGACCTGTTGTGAGGTGATCAGTTTTGTATTGATTTCTTCTCATGGTATGACCAGTTGAGAGTTGATCAGTTTTGTATTGATTTCTTCTCATGGTATGACCAGTTGACAGGTGATCAGTTCTATGTTGATTTCTTCTCATGGTATGACCAGTTGACAGGTGATCAGTTCTGTGTTGGTTTCTCTTTTGTTAAGAGAAAACTAAAATTGTATATTTTCTATTAGAACACCGGAAGCTGGCGAAACATTGTAAACCATGACTTTTTGTTAGGTGATCAGCCAACAAATTGTATATTTTCTATTAGAACACCGGAAGCTGGCGAAGCATTGTAAACCATGACTTTTTGTTAGGTGATCAGCCAACAAATTGTATATTTTCTATTAGAACACCGGAAGCTGGCGAAGCATTGTAAACCATGACTTTTTGTTAGGTGATCAGCCAACAAATTGTATATTTTCTATTAGAACACCGGAAGCTGGCGAAGCATTGTAAACCATGACTTTTGTTAGGTGATCAGCCAACAAATTGTATATTTTCTATTAGAACACCGGAAACTGGCGAAGCATTGTAAACCATGACTTTTTGTTAGGTGATCAGCCAACAAATTGTATATTTTCTATTAGAACACCGGAAGCTGGCGAAGCATTGTAAACCATTAAACCTAATGTTTATAACAAATATGCAGCCTGGCGTGATTTTTATCATTTATCGTCCTTCTGTTAAATTAAGCTATATATGTTTTTAAAATGCTTAAACCAGTGGTGGAGGGAGCAATTTTGGATTTGTCAGGTAACTCAGAATAGTGTGCAAAGCATGCTAGTGCTAGGGAGATCTGGGGGCATGCTCCACAGGAAAAAGTTTAAAACATAGGCGCCTTGAGATTGAATTTGTTTTTTAATTTTATTATAATTTATTGAAAGCATTAATCATTTACAAGCACTTCTTGATAATTCACACAAATAGGTGCTCACTAGCACCTATACTCACCATAGCTATAAGTAAGCACAAGCATGTACACATGCATATTACACATGTAATTTATTATACATTGTTATACTGATTCATAGATACATACTACTATAAGTCTATTTACGTAGAAAGCATTTTTGAAGTGCAAGTTAAAGTTTAAAAACCATACAGTTATTGTGACAAAGTGTTGGTCCGGCTGGTGCTCGGTCTTCCGAACCTACTTCGGCGCACATATTAACTTATACAATATGCGTTTTACGTCCAATTCAATCAATCTTGGAACTTATTTTCGACATCTCGCACAGGGAAAGAAACGACATGTTATCGTTTCTCCTACGAACATGAATTTGTACGAAAATACTGATTACTCTTGTTTCTCTTCGCCAAACAGTAGTATAATTTCATTTCTTTCAAGTTTTTAATGCCTAAATAGTCAAATTAGACACCAGATAATAAATTGTACACATAATAGATTTATTTCACACACACACACAAATATAAAAACATACAAAACAATTATCCAATTATTTCATATCACTTCGAAGAGTTCGTAAAACATATGTGCTGGATTATTACTTTCTACCGTAGCCGCCACCTCCTCCATAACCACCTCCGCCACCGCCTCCTCCATGGCCACCTCCGCCACCACCTTTGCCACCGCCCCCTGATACTTGCAAGGAAAGAGGTGATGCAAGAAGAGCAATAACATTAGCTCCACCTCCTCCCCCACCATAGCCGCCACCACCACCACCACCATAGCCGCCACCACCACCTCCACCGCCGCCACCGTACCCTCCACCACCACCTCCGCTACTTAGACTAACTTGTATTGGCATGGCCTATTGATTTTAGGAAGATAAACATTTTCTTAGTATAGCAATATATATATATCATCAAGTTTTTATACACAAATATATAGATGTATATCATCAAGTTTTATACACAAATATATAGATGTATATCATCAAGTTTTTATACACAAATATATATATATATATCATCAAGATTTTATACACAATATATATATATATATCATCAAGTTTTTATACACAAATATATATATCATCAAGTTTTTATACACAAATATATATATATCATCAAGTTTTTATACACAAATATATATATATCATCAAGTTTTTATACACAAATATATATACCATCAAGTTTTTATACACAAATATATATATATATATCATCAAGTTTTATACACAAATATAGATATATATCATCAAGTTTTTATACACAAATATATATATATATCATCAAGATTTTATACACAAATATATATATATATCATCAAGTTTTTATACCCAAATATATATATGTATATATATATCATCAAGTTTTATACACAAATATATATATATATATATGTTGTCAAGATTTTATACACAAATATATACATATCATCTGTACTATACGACTTAACATTGCACCTTTTACAAACCTTTGATAAGCTTTTAATACATTGTTGTACAAAACTTCTACTAACGTATATTTCCATCCGCCTTTTGTTTACATTCATTGAAATGAAGTGCGCGTACATGCGCATTTACATAGTAAGGTGCGCGCGCATTTTCAGGACAGATTAATAGATTAATGTCTTATCTTATCTTATGCTGGCTATAACATTATATAATTGACTGTCAATAGTTTAAGACTGAGACTATATAAAAAAATACTTTAATATAAACATATTTATAATATTATTATTATTTCTACTTGCCTGAATACTGACAAATCCACCTATGCCTCCACCTCCACCTCCTCCATAGCCTCCGCCACCGCCACCGCCTCCTCCATAGCCTCCGCCACCACTTCCCCCTCCCCCGTAACCTGAAGCATCAGCGATGATGGGATCCTCCACTCCTGAAGTATACGATGAGGCAAACAATGAGTCGCCCACTCTGGAGTAGACTGAGTCTAAAAGGGGATCATTCGCACCCAAAGAATATGTGGGATCAACAATAACTGTCTCAGCCAACACGGCCATCAGGAGGAAAGGGAACCATGGAATCACTGTCTGAAAGATGAAGAACTCTGTGATGAATGAACACTTATCTTGAACAAATAATGTCAAACAAGCTTACTAATATTTTAAGCGTGTAAAAGGAGATGAAATGTTGTCCATTCTTTCAACAATGCAACATACACCAGGACAAAATGACTTGCTTGCCTTACGAAGAAACTGACGCTTAGTTATGGTTATAGGGTCAACTTTTTACATGCTGTTAAACATTAAATAATAACCAAAGAGAAACGTGAAACCAATAACGAAGAGTTAGACAAAACGATCTTACAAGAATTGGAGGGAAGAAAAAGAGAATCATGCATAAAATGTGAAACACACTTTGGAGAATGAAAAATTAGTAAAGATTATAACTTTGTGCAAAGTTGAAGTTAATCACAAAGCTACACAATAAGCTATCTGTGCTCTGCCCACCACGGGTATCGAAACCCGGATTCTAGCGTTGTAAGTCCGCAGACATTCCGCTGTGCTACTGGGGGCAACCTTGTGCGAGTTTAAAAATTTGTTTGAGGAACGGTTTGATATAGAGACGAAAATTCTTCCGCTATAAAGTGAACCATTTTCCAAGAAATAGTCCGTAGAAGAACTACTCAAGCTGCATTCTGATGCAGATATAACTATCACTCGGTTTTTAGTTATAAGAATTATTGGATTTTTATGTAAACATCATCAGACCTTCTATATGTTTTTACGAGTAAACTTCGATATCTTAATATAGGTGTTGTCGCATAATATTGTGCCCTTTTAAAAATGATAAAAAACGTTTTTGGCCCAAATATAGTTCAAAGATGTGAAATAATATTATCTCATTTCTTTATTAATATGCTGTCATGTCATATTGTTGTACTTTTAAAAATTATCATCAATTTTTTTGTCCCAAATATAGTCCAAAGATGTGAAATAATATTATTTCAGTGTCTTTATTAATTAGTATGTTATCGTGTCATGTTGTCGTCCACTTTTGAAAATGATTATCAAATTCTTTTAGACTTGTGTAGTTATATGGTATGAAATTATACTGAATGTTTCTTGTTTAAATGGCTTACGGTGTTACTTAAGTCACTTTACAAGAAACTTACAAAACTTGTGTGCCATCTAGTGACCAGCGGTAAAACTTTGAGAATGAAAAGTTATTGATACTGATTCTCAAATCAATCTATATTTACATGCAATTTTGAACTGGAAAACGAAAACACGAATTTTAAGGGCTATAACTGCACTCCTTAATACTTGTGGCTTATTTTCTGGTTGTGAAAAATAAAATATTCGTAATTCTTTACTGGTGGTCCTAAAATCAAGGAAAACGTAGACTGAAACAAAGATAAAACATTAAAGTAGCATTTCTTACCTTCTTACTCATCCTCTCTATCTCTCTAACGATGCAAGCACCACCTGTCTGCTTAAAAGACAACTGTTTGATAAGAACAGAAAGAAGCGATGTTCATTATGGAAGAAGGACTTGATCTAGAGTTTATATATACCTTGGAAGGCATTGTTTTCCTCGAGGGGGTCATTAGGTCATGTGACAGAAAGAACTATGGGAAACTATACGAAAAGGTGCTCGAACTGACTTCTAGCATTTTCAGCGGAATACAATTAAATACATAAAAAATCACGGTAAACGTCCTTTCTTCGCTACGTTTACTAATTGTAGGTCAGATGATGTAAATGTGGGGACTATCCTAAAAGTTGCCAAATATTTATATTGTCTGTAAATAAAATACTACAAAGTGAATTAATTCTAAATGATACAATGTTCAAACGACACCTTTATATTATATTAACAGTATCTGTCAAATACAGATATTATTTCTCTCGAACTTCTTCAGTTACTTGTATTAATAGATGGTCCCTAGTAACTAACTACTGGTGCTCCTCAGAGTCCACTTACCTGTTGTTACTACAAATTCCCGTTACTCCTATACGCTCCATATCCAAACCAAGACACGTGTTACGTCTACTAACTTACTTGCGTGACGACAGTTCTGATCATACACCACAACTTCTGAATACGATAACAACTAAGAGTTGCATGTGAACGACGAAATGTTTATTTTTTGCTGATTATTCATTTTCTTTCCTTTAAAAAGTTTGAATTCAACATTAAAAAACACGATTAGGCTGCTCCAGTAAAATATCTACGACGTTTCTCGAGGTATTCACCTTGTCTTTGGAAACGTAAAGTTTTCCAGTTCATACAAGATCAGTTCAAATTATTCATTATCTCAAACAGTGAGACCTAAATCTTTCAATACTAAAGTCAGGCTTCCTGTGGCAGTTTTAAACTATCGGGTGTGCGACAAATACAATTCCTGGAGAGCAAGCGAATTATTTTAAAACTAGTAAATTTAGATTGATGTGTCTGTACTTCTTACATTGTGATGTAGTAACAGCTTGATATACAAATACATTTAAATATTTATTTTTATGTACCTTCTAAACATAGTAGGAATGAAGTCATAAATCTATAAATTAGTTTGTTTTTCGAATTTTGTGCAAAGTTTACTCAAAGACTATTTGCGTTGGCTGTTCTTTACTTAGAAGCGATAGAATGCCGCTGGTAAACACCACCAATTTCCAACTTTTGGGCTACTCTAATCGAATAATGGGATTAACCGTCATATTATAACACCCCCACCTTTGTTGGTATGAACGCTTGATACATTCTATTAATAATTCTCTTTTTTTTATTGGCTTATTGATGTTGATCTTTATATCATGTCGTCTTGTAATCCTTTGTATGTATACATACACAAACAAATCTGGTCTCGACCACGGTGGGTCAACGGTGAGTTTACTGATTCTCAACGTTAAAATCCGGTGTTCTATTCCCCATTACGTCACTTTGCTCTAAGTATACAAAGACGCAAATCTATTTTTTTATTGATTTTATTGAGTTTTATAATACATCATTCTATGATGCTTAATATGTTGAAGGTTCACACACACACACATATATATATATATATATATATAAAGCATGGGCTCCCGCAAGATGAGGCAATTGGGGCATCTGCCCCCCCCCCTAGGATTTCAGAAGTAAATTTATTTCAATAATTTATTTAAAAAGAGTCCCAGAAAAAAATTATTCAAATAGAAATAACGAAATTGGGTGTGCGTAAATAAGCCATAATCAGCCAGAACATCGCATTCAAACTTCAAGGCCTGCGTTCTGCGATGACTACCGAGCTCGCAGGTTGTGTACTTAACCTCACCTGCAGTAATTTCTGACGCCCATCGTATAAACTCTCATTTTTGATTGGTCTATTGAATTTCATTATCTGCCATATAATTGTTTGTCTATGAACAAACCGAAGACGAACAAACCTCAAATGCTAAACCTAACTGTAAGGCTGGATAGCCTGAAACCCCTTCTCGTGTTGAAAGGGCACAAAGACGTATATTGACTTAACGTAAACAAAATCTACCCACGTTAAACACTGTTGCCTGATGAACAGTTTACCCATATATATATATATATATACCTTTGAATTATTTGCTCGTTACTCTTACTACTAGCAAGATAACACTGCTACATGATAAATAGTTCAGCTATGTACACAGTTCAATTATTTGCTTGCTATCATGGGCAACAGTAAGCACACGTATTTAGACTATATGTAAAAATATGGCTTAAAGACAATAAAAAATATATTTATTTTAAATGAAAATCAGAAATTAAAAGATAAAATAGAATAAACGTTCCAAAGTTATACGATCATTACGTACGCTCATCGTCAAGATTAATTGCTTGGACTCAACCGAAATTTTTGTTTGTTTGTTCTTTGCTTGCTTGAGTTTCTGGTAATCATTTTACAAAAAAAAATTGAAAAATTAAGATAGCTGCTCTACGCTAATAAATCATTTCCTTTGAAGAGGAAAATTCGAACATATTTCTTATCTTGGATCATATGAACTTGGAAGAGTTTGTTTTTATTACTTTGGTTGCCTATTTTCCCTGAACTATTTAGGTAAGTGCTTGTAAGTAGGAGTGTGAATTTGTTTACGTTTTGCCCTTGTTTCCCTGGAAAAAAAACGATTTCTAGAACGAGGTAAACGTTCCTTGCTTTAGAAATTGTTTCAGTTTTTTTTAATATTATTTGCAGATCGGAGGTC